AGTATTGTAAAATAATATAAAAAAATTTTTTATCAATTGTGTAACGATTTTGTGACGTATCAACGTTTCCTCCTGTTGTGTAAAACACCATAGGTGCGTTTTATAATAATATTTTTTGGATTTTGTGGCTGCGCTAAGGTGGCATGACCTAGTTTATCCAATTAAAGACGGAATTCCGTGCAATTGGAGGAACCCATGTTATAAATTTAGATCTCTCATTTGTTGAGAAAAAACGTCCTATCAGTGAAAATAGAACACTTCCACGTGATCTGTGACACAGTGCTGCAGAGTTATTATCAGTTATATAAACACGACAACACGCGTTTATAGTATTCGCGAATTTTCTTACAAATAAACATTTTTGTATTTTTTTTTTTATGCGCAACGATCGAAAATTCAAAATGGCCGAAGAATACAAAGATGATGTAGCTGATGATGTAGCTAGCGATGTAGCTGATAACGAAGAAGAGGAATTGGGATACATGCCAGTTACCAAGCTTAAGGTTTGTTAATATATATTTTCTCGTTCGATTATAGTTCATACACGAAGATTGTAAAGTTTGTATAATACGTATATTAACGACCCTTTAGGAATGCGGCATAAATGAATCGGACGTTAAAAAGCTTTCAGACAACGGTTATGCTACTGTCGAAGCTGTAGCCTTTTCACCCAGAAAAGCCCTACTGACTATAAAAGGAATTTCTGAAGCAAAAGTTGATAAAATTTTATCGGAAGGTAAACTTGGTTTTATTAATTCATTAAACTTTTATTGTTATTTATTATTAAATGTCAATTGTTATTTTCATTTAAAAGCTATTAAGTTGTCACCTAGAATGGGTTTCGAATCAGCTACTTTAGTTCAAAAAAGAAGGGAAAATTACTTTTATATATCAACCGGCTCAAAGGCATTAGATAAACTTCTTGGAGGTGACATAAAAAATAATTTTATATATAATTAATGAAAAAATATATATATATATATATTAACATAATTTATTTTATAGGTGGAGTTGAATGCGGATCTATTACCGAAATTTTTGGTGAATTTAGAACTGGAAAAAGTCAACTTTGCCATACACTTGCTGTTACGTGTCAGGTAGTAATAATATAAATTTTAAATTTTTATATACGTAAAATAAAATTAATAAATTTATTTATTAAAATTCTATTAAAGCTTGCAATTAAAAATGGCGGTGGTGAGGGAATGTGTATTTATATTGATACCGAAGGCACGTTCCGTCCTGAAAGAATAGTGTCAGTTTCAGAACGTTATTCTATGGATAATCAAGAAGTTTTGGATAATATAGCTGTTGCGCGGGCTTATAATACAGATCACCAAATGACATTGTTGGTTCAAGCAGCTGCAATGATGACTGAAGCGAGGTTTGCACTTATAATAGTTGATAGTGTAACAGCATTATACAGAACCGATTATTCTGGTCGAGGTGAACTTGCTGCACGCCAAATGCATTTGGCAAAATTTTTGCGCGCCCTACTTCGTTTAGCTGATGAAGTAAGTATTTTATATATACTTAATATATAGTATATATATAGTATATATATAGTACATTTATTGTAATCTAAATAAAATGGTTTTAAAGTTTGGAGTCGCGGTAGTTATTACAAATCAAGTCGTATCATCAGTCGATGGAAATATCTTATTCCCCGGTGCAACAGATAAAAAGCCTATCGGTGGAAATATCATTGCTCACGCGTCGACGACAAGGTACAGTAACTAAAATAATCAAATTAATGCTAGAACTTATTATAAAAATTTTAGAATAGTATTAAGTCATTTAAAATTTTAGGCTGTCTTTACGTAAAGGCAAGGGTGAAGCACGAGTATGCAAAATTTACGACTCTCCATGTCTTCCAGAAGCAGAAGCCGATTTTAGAATCGGACCAGGTGGGATCGAAGACATAAATGATTAAATATTAACTAGGATTGCGACCCAAATTTTTTTTTTTTTAAATTACGACATTTTACTATATACTTAGTTTGGGGCTGGGAATCAGTATTTCTACTTTTGAGTTCATGATCAAAACCTAAATATATAATCCATTTCGGTAAAAATTGGCAAACTCAAAAATTAAATAAATATGTGTGCATTTAATAATTAAGATTAAAATTTTAAATTATTCAAGAAATTAAAAATTTATCCAGTTCAAAAGATCGGTAAAGATTGGATTGAATGGATCGGGTATCAGATTATCAGATAATGCTACCCTTTGATAAAAAATTCTACGCTAAGTTTTGTCTAAAAAAGACCTTTAAAATTCGAAACTGCCTTTATCATTTCAAATGACTAGGTTATTAAAATATCTTTTTTAATATCTTTATAAACATCTCGATGAGTGTTGCAATATATTATCATGTGATGAATGATTGACGCACGTGAATTAAATACTTTAATTTGCTTTTCAGGTTTATTTATGGAAATTTGAAATAAATATCGTGGAAAAGGTTGAAGCTGGAAATCGGGAGTCTATTTTGTCGTTAATATCATATTCTTGTGTTTATTGATTGTTGTACTTTTTGTGAGCTATTGTTATCGTTATCATTATTATTACAGTATTGTCAGTGTCATAATATATCATGTGATATTCGAAAATTTATTGTGACCTAACGTTAACGTTAATGTTAAAATCGGATTTAACATCTGTACGTATAAAAAATAAAACCCGGTTACAACTATATATAGATTATAGTTGGTTAGTGCGCAGAAGGCGGCTTATGATTGGTCAACAGAATTTTTTAGGGTAACGCTATGACCAATGTTGTACACACGGACATTGTTCCCGCAATTTTTTAATATCCGAGACGTTCAGGACAATGACCCATAATGTTTTGAACGTTGTCCTGCAATTTTAATTCCAATAAAACAGATTCATAAGTTTGGGAAGCGTAACATCAATCAAATATAAATGCATATAACCGCATATATAATTTGTTTAATCGTTCAATTCAAAGCGATAATGATACGTATCGAAATAATAATTTCTAACAAGACATTAATCATGATTTTTTTGGCATGCTTTTAACATTAAAATTAACCGAACTTGCATATGCGATAACATTATTTAATTCAATAATTAACAAATTGATTTTTTATCGTTGTTATTTTATTTATTTTATTTATTTTATTTGTATATAATATAATTTAAAAAGTTAAATTAACATGAATAAAAAAAAGAAAGAAATTAAATATGGAATACTTAAAAGTATCGTTGTATTCAATATATTAATTAAATTAACGTAAAAAAAAAAGAAGTTAATATGGGATTTAGATAACTTTCATGTGTATAATAAATACAATAATATCGTTATACTCGACATAACTAAGAGAGATGCAGCATTACACAGTCTGCAGTTAAACGTATTATGACATTAAATCAATGATATCAACATGAAGTTTATCATATGAAATTTTATCATAACGATCGTTATCATTGTATGTAGTATTAATTATGAATTGTTAACGATTAAAAATTAAAATTTAATTAAAAAGTTAACAATAATTTCTAAGCTATATAATAATAAATTAATTATCCAATATGCATAGAACATCTTCGTAGAAAATGATCTAATCAATGGTTTTTTACTGTAAAATTTATCAATTTTCTATAAAATCATTGATCGCATCAATTATCGCTGTTTTTGAAATGTTTGAGAATGGCGAGATTTACAAAAAAAAAATTTTATATCAATAATCGATTATGCACTCGCATAATGTTTCAATGTTCTAAACTAATCAGGTGTTCGGGTTTTCACA